CTTCAGGTAACCTGATTGCAGCCACGAGTTCGGCTTACGTAATCGCGCGACCCTCCGTCTACTGCCAATTGGTTTTATATTTCTTTCGCGGTTCAAAACATGGCATATTATAGTGAAATCAGCTATTTGAATTTCCAATTTTATAAATTATTTGAACTTCGAAAACAGAACACAATATTCCTTGTGATTTATCAAGGTTTATATCTGTATCTGAAAAAGAAAATTGTTCAACGTCCATGATATTCATTGAGAGCAGCCCGCAGGTCTAATTGATTATGCGAGTTACGTGTTGCGCGCCGTTATTGCAAACGTGGCCCTCCGCGGCGCGGCGGCGGGACGTCCGCTGCCGTCACATACGAAAATCGGCGAGTCCGCGATTAATATTCATTTGTAATTGTTAATTGAGCAGCGGATAACCGATCGCGGCCAGGGTGCAACCTCGAAATTCAGTGCCGCGGTCTGGACGAAGCCGCGTATAACATCGTTCAATTCCGTTGGGGAATCGATCCGTTTAAAATTACAATCAACGCCCCTAAACGCATCAAACCGCTCCCGACTCTACTTTTATCGGATAATAAGTATCAAGGCTGTGCAAATATTCATATCAGTATTTATACCTAAAAATTAATTGCCTGGATCGCTTTAAGCATAAAAATTAATCATTTCTTTATAACATTCATCTGATGAATTATCAGAATTCTTGATAAGCAGTGAATTCTTTCAACGACGACGAGCTTGTTGGAAAAAGAACGTTTGACCATTTTACGCCGTCTTAAGATTACACTTAGAATCGTTTCCTTTCTCCGGGATTTTCATCTCAATGTTTCCTCGACTTCGTCTTGTATTTCATTTATCTTTCATACAATTTTCCCGTCTTTGTGGATAAAAAATTGTCTTAACATCGAAAAGCTTTGTGCAGGACGACAATAATCGTTGAACGCGAAATGAAACAGTCATAGCTCGTTTAAGGGAATACTATTAACTACGACTGTTTGAAATTTCCTTACTTTTTAAATTATTGTTTATTTATAACTGTATAATTTACATTGTCGAAATAATTCACAGAGTGGACAGTTGGTTCAGCATGGATATAAAAATGGCTACAGATACATTGAAATGTAATTAAATAATTACTATTTTGTCGGATAGAACATCAAGCGTATAAAAAGCAGCGCTATTAAAACTGTAATTAAGGAAATTGAAAGGTAACATCGTCGCATTATTCCCAGAGGTTACGAGATGCAAAAAACACAAGCCTCAAGTTATAAGAATGATCACGCTTATCTTCCAATTTCTTCTGTAATCCAATAAACAATTCTTCTGCTTCAATCCTCCGGACTCTCAGTTGAGAAATGATTTTCCTGTTCACAAATTTATACTAGACATTTACTGGCACTGACAATTGATCATTTCCGAGTATTTAATTCTTACAGAAACAGTTATTCCTTTACTGTATGAAACTCCAATGACAGTTTAAAGCTCAGGACTATAAAAATATCTTTCAATAAAATTGTCACAGTTCAATTTCTTCATAGGTTAAATTTCTCCAAATATAATTTTTGTCTTTTTCTATTTCGTCACTTGTTTGCATTTGCAAATTGAAATTTGCATTTCGAATGAACGCAACAGTTTTCGAACATGTCACTTCTCTAGTCCAATTCATGAATGTAGCACTCGATCGTATTATATAAAAGCAAACGCATTGTGAAAAAAAAGAAGTAAAAGTACGCATCTCGTGAATACATGACAGAAAGTAAAAACCTATGGAGACGAGATAGACGTAACGGGGTTTAATCAAATTTATTAGTCCCGCGAAAGAGGAATGTTAATCAAATTTTATGGGCTAAATCTGTCGTGAGTTGTTTACGCCCGCATAAACCAGTCCAATTATCGTGAAAGCTTGAAGCGTGTACCGGCTGGCTGGTGAATTACCTGCCTGCCTTTGCACGTGAGCGTACTCGAAAGAGTATTACGTATAGATACCTGCCTACGTATCTAACGCGGTTCTCACGTCGATACGCTGGAATCTCGCCAAACTTAATTTCGAATCGAAAAAGTGATGTGTGCCTCCTTTGAGATGATAGTCGAGACGGGGGCGAAGCTCGTACGCTCCGCGGCCAGTTATATTCTACTCTTCTCGTTGAGAAGTCTCGCACGTCCTTTAACTTGTACGAGGGCCGTGCTCGATCTTCGATTTAACTCCTCGCCCGGGGAACAATTTCTCTCGTAAGCTTGTCCAATTGTCAGTGTAATCAACAGAACGAAATGAGGATAGGAAATAAAGTAAATTCTTCGTTCTCACGTTTAATAAATATTGAACATGACAATCGTATTAGAATAGACAATGTTGGATTATTTATAAGTCGATATGACAAAAATGAATCTTATATTTATAAGGAAATGTACCCCCGGGTTGGTTTTCCGTGCTAAGGACCTAAAACTTTCTGAAAAAAAAGATTGTTCCTCACTTGAAATGCGAATTTCTATTAGTCCTTCTGTGCCGTTTTAATAAAAGATTATTTCGAACAAGTTTTTTTTATTCAACCCATTAATCAAAAAACAGCGTCATATTTTAATTTTTAACGTGTACGTATATTCATTGAGAGAGAAACGAATAAAGTGAATCATTTTTGCGATGCGGGACAGTTTTTAATTAATTTAAATTGAACCAGTATTTTCGCTACAGCGAAGGAAAGATAGTAAACATTTAACGAGGAATAATTTACGCCACGTGCATCTACAATATAATTTTAATTAACGCTAAAATTTCTAGAGATCGATAGATTTAATCAAATATAAAATCGTGCTTGTTTCCTTCGCGGCGAAACACGGGCCGATTAAACTGTTCCCAGGGGCCAATATTCCGGGCGAGCAAATTTGTGCAACAGTTTTGCATTCCAAATCGTCGACTTGCCGAATGCAACGCGGCGTCGTAATGTAGACGCGGGCCTCGCGTAAACCCGGCATAATGAAATCCGTACCATTAGGCCGGCCAATGGGGTAAATTCTAGGTACGGGTCTCGCGCAAACGTCGGTCCGCCGCCGTTCGTCCGGCGCAAAACCGCGCACCTACCCTCCCATCTCGCCGGCTCGTTCGACTCGACTCGATTCGATTCGCTTCGAAATCGAATAGAGAGGCGCTTGCTTCCCGACAATGCCCCGGAAAATTCACTCTACGCAGCCACGCGTATACGTGTTACCATCCTCGGGAATTACGTCCGTCCTTTACCTCTACGTGTATCTTACTAAAATCGTGGAAACGTACCTGATTTACTTTTCATTCCCCTTTTCATCTGAATACAATCTGTGTCTTCGTAATGAGTATCCTCGATCGAATTCTTTATTACGAAGCACGATTTTTGATAAGAATAATTTTCACACGTCGTCCCGTGCAATTAGATTAGACAGTTTTTGCAGATATTCTTTAAATTTAACAATCAAAGTTTCGATATTTCGCGTCGGTCTCGCAGCACTGAACGGTTAATTGAAGAATGCGTTCATCAGCGTGTCCCGATTGATCGACTATGGGTCCGGTAACGTTTATAGGACCACCATTAGAATCAGGACGTAGCGCTAGAATTCGCTGTTGGACGATCGAGCAGTCGGATGATTACGACCTAATCGAATTAAACCGTCCGTACTCGTGTTTACGACGAGCTGACTCGTCGATTCGAGTTTGCTTTGTTCATGCGAGACGGATCGAGCACCCATCGCGTGTTCCAAACGAAATGCCATCATGTTCCCCGTCGTTCGTACGCCTCCCGTCAGCCGATGCTCCCCTGAGATAATTCTGGACGATCTATTAAATGTGTCTCGCTTCACAGTCTTTTATTATAGAACATACGTTCGTTTCGTTTATTGACTTACGCGAAAGGGTTCCACCCGGTAAATTTGCGTTACTTCGTCGGCTAGACTTCCACGAAGTTCATTGCCGCGACGGTTCACCTCTTCCCGCTGGAACCGCTTCTTTTTGGCAATCAAACGAGCAAGAAACACTGCGGCTTCCGGCAGCTGGTTCCCCGCGGTCAAAACTTGCTCCACCGTGCGCTTTGTCTCGGCCCATCACCGACCACTGTCGCCGCCTTGGGAAATCTTCCCGCTCGTAAACATCCAATAATCTAATCCGTGCCTCTCATCATTGAGAACTGTCGTTCTTAATAAATAAAGTCGACAACGAATGCAACACGTGCAGCGATTGGGATTTTTAACCTGATAACACGAGTCGATTTTACATAGAATTATGCGATTAAAAGGAGTCGGACAGTGAAACGAACATGAGAAGTTTTAATTACCAACGAATCCTCATTTGAAACACAGTTTGCGAAACAATATGAGATAGCGTTGATTGCGGGCAATTTGAAGGTTTCAGTGGCAGTAATCCGGAGACGGCTGTTACGCCACTGAGCACAAGCTCCTCTTTCTACATTGGTACAAACTGCACGCGTGGTAAGACGGTGCTCGTGGATGTTTGACCGTGTCTCCGTGGTACAGAGTACAGAGTCGACGCAGCACTGGCTCTATGTACACGGCTTAGCTCAAGGAGTTTGCTAGCGTTCCTGCTTGCATTTGCCTAACCGCGTTAACGGATCCCCGATCCAAATATCAGACACCGCACGGCTCGAGCTCTTCCTGGCGACGTCGCCGCCACGCAGAATCGTGCCAAGAACGGCAAACGTCTTTCCTATCGTTCACTCTTAATGCGGGTTTTGACCGATTCAGATTTTTTATCGATTCGCTAGTTTTACGGAATTGATAATGACCGAAAGCAAGGCTCATATAGTTTTTTTGATAAATTTGTAATCCTGAAGCATGTCTAAAATAGGAAAACGTGTGAACGCTGCTTTCGGTTATATTCATCCAAGGATCGTGAGATAAAAATGCCAATATTTGTTTCCATTCATTTATTAATCAGTGTACAATTTAAGACACAGAGATTCTAATCTTAACAATTATTCATAATTCGTAATAGTAGAATAATTGTTTATGGTGTTTGATTGCAGATGAGTGGCAAACGCACCAGGAGCTTCAAATGCGCGGTCCACCATCGTGACCGCGAGGTTTGCTCCGAAAACGATTTTCACCTCCTCGTCCACGAGCCTCCTCTATTCCACAGGTACGATTTTTCATTAATAATCGAAAGTACAGAATGAATAGAAAATAAATTAAACCATTCGTTAAACGATTTTATCAAACCATACATGAATCGAGATAAATGAATACGTCTTTATATTTGGACAAATCAAAATGTATCTCTGCAAACCGTAAAAAATTCTTAGTCTTCGATTTGTTTATGAGTTTAATCGGGCAGCAGCGAAGTTCCGAAATGCGACAGGGATTTAAAGAATTCATCGAATTTACTGGTAACGAACTGTACGCTAGGGAGACAATTTCTAAGCACATTTTCCGTGGCGCGAGCTTCCATGAGAACCGAAACGCGGTTCGCGACATTTGGACTCGCGCGAGGAATACCGACCGCGACGAGACGCCATTCCCATCTACCATTCCTCGCTTGGCTCACGACAAGGGTAGAAATTGCGAGGCAAATTAGGTCTGGAGAAAACGTTTGGCAAGACAGAGCTTGATAGCCAATAAAAGAGAGCGGAATACAGAAAGGGGCGAAATTACAGCGTTAAGAATAAAGTTATTCGACAACGTCGCGGAAAAAAGAGAGAATAATAGGTTTCGCGTAGGGAAGAAACGAAGGGAATTCGAGAGGGAGAAGGTTGTTCGCATTTTATTATTCCGTTGAAACATCCGACGACACCGAGGCACCGGCGCCTTCTTACTACAGCATTTCTGTTCTGCATTTTATGCTCCGCGTCGTTACCCATGCGAGGGAAAGCCGCGGCGACGTACGTCGCACGACCTATGAAACATCAACGTCTTTCTGCTTCTTCCTACTATGTATTCGCCGGCTGGAACGACGCTTCTTCCCGTCCGCGTATACCTGTATATCCGTGTTTCGTCGCGAGCCGGCATACCGAGCAAATGCGTTTCCAGTCATTGCTTATAGATGCGATTTCCCAGTTGAAAATTTCTCCACGGTTAGTCGCAGCTGCGATTCTTTCGTTTAACATGAACCTCCTCGACCTCCGGTTAGTCGATGCGGGCTGAAGTAAATATGATACTCGGCCCCGAAGCGCGCCGCTTATCATATTCTTGTTTCTTTAACATTTTCGATGGATTCGCTCGCTCGAATATCAGGCGAATAATTTTTAAGTAATAATAAATGACGTGAATAAATGTACGCGGGACGTTAGCTGTTAGATAAATGACTCTAGATCCTTTATCGAATTATAGTTGGAACAAAATTGTCAAAACGCGAATAAATATGCAGGGTATATGCTTGCACAGAAGGTCTGTACAGAATTCCGATACGGGCGTGAGTGTCGCAACGAAATTAATCACCCTTTCTCCGGCGAGTTACCCGATGAGATTAATAGGCGCGGATATGTATCAGGAAAAAAAGCATCGGGAAGGCGCCAGGTCCCCCTCGAGCGTGATCGATTCGAGTTGTTTCTGCGTGCCGTTCATAAATAATTCATCGCGTCGTCGTCGTCGTCGGCACCGGGAAAGAGAGACAAAAGAAAAATGAAAGCGCGATGAGAGCCAGTGGGTGAATGAGTCGAAGAATGGGTAAGCGAGTGAGCGGGACGAGAAACGGCTGCAAAAAGATACGGACGAGGAATAAAGGTGGGATGTACGGAGGAAAAGAGCGGCGAAGGAAAAGGAGCGAAGACGGATGAAAAATTATAAGAAGTCGGAGTAAAAACGAAATTGCAGGCAAAAAGGAACGGAAACTGCGGAAAATATATAGCGCGCGCGGAGATCAAAGGACGGCGAGATGCGAGAGTCAGAGAGAAACGAAACGTTAAGGTTAAACGCACAAGACTCGGGCATTTATAAAAAAAAAAGAAGAAAAAGAAAAATAGAGGAACGAGTCATTAAAGTGGCAGTAAATTTCGAGTCACGCGTGTCGAATTAAGTTAAAATATAGAGGCGATCGTGATATCTCTATAATCCTTATGACAGGGAACCGTTTAAGGTTTTCGAGGAAATTCGATTAATTACGGTGGATCAGAGCAATTAGGATAGTTTCCTTTTCTTAATCGAGAAAGAGCTTCAATAATTATTTTAATGGCGAGTGATTAAACAGACGCAAAGAATTAAAAGCATAAAAATGATTTTCAAAATTAAGGATCGGAGATCGTAAACGCTTTGGAGTAACGACGATGATAAAAAATAAAAAGGGAGATTTTATCGTACACGAGTGTCCTGTTAATGTCCAGTATATTTAACGTCATTGAATGCGCACGACTCGCATTCATATTTCTATTAAAAATTGTTAAAATCCAACGTCACCAGATTCACGTTTATATATTTGGCGAATGTATAGCTGCAATAAGTGGTATATCATCAGCGGCTGGCAAATCCTTTTTATCTCGACCTTCGGAAGTTGAAATTTATTTTTAAATGCTCTCGAAAGTGCTGAAAAAATTTATTTCACAGACGAAATTTTTCGTCAAACGTCGCCGCGGAAGATAAATTTAGAACGGTCGGGAAAAAAATGTCGACCCAGTAACCAGCAAATTTTCGGGTGCGGCTACGTACCTACCGAATTCCTTTGAGACACGGTACGACGCGTCAGAATGCATTTAAAATTCCATTACAACCGCTCCAAGTGCAGTTTCGTGCCCATTACAAGGGCGGTTAGAAAGACGCGGACGTTGTTCCACCGGGGAACAAAGGGAGGGGCTGCACGGGGATAGATACAACGGAAGAGATAAGAACGTCGAAGGAGTAGGCAAACGGCAGGAATTGAAAGTAAAAATGGGACGAGTAGCGCGAGCGCGTTTCACTCCTCTCGCCGCCGTCTCCGTCTCTCGCTGTCCCCGTTCGATAGCGCGAAATCTCCTGGCGAGGAGACATTCCTGTGCACACAAGATAAGAGGCGGCAGTAGTGGCAACCTGCAGGCTCTTTGCAAATAAAATATCGTTCGGGCGTCAAGCAGACAGGAGAGATAGGAGAGGTGAAAGTGCAGTGGGAAACGGGAGGACTGGAAATATGACGGGCACTGTATTCTGAGCAGGTAGCGAGCGGGAGAGCACGCTCGGAATTCGACGCGGGAGTCGGTGCAGAGCCCTTAAGTCTCGCGGCGTTCCTTGTCGCTGTTACACCCTTCGCTTGCCTCTCTCACCTCCCCTCTGACCGGACGGGAACGGAGGGTCGATGTAAATTTTCGTGGCTAGATGTAAAACTGGCGCCACGACACCCCAGAGACGAGTCGCTTCGCGCATCGACGTTAAAAAAGCTCGGAATGCTTTATTGCCGTCGACTTCCCCTGCTGGGAGCGAATCAGCAGACGCGACGAATCGAATGAAGCGCGATGACGTGCACTGATTTGTCATGCAGAAGGGAGCCGATGAAACGCTGTGTTTTTATTGAATTCCGTACGAATTCCCTCTTGTTATAAAAAATTCCTTGGTCAGTTCCCTGAAAGTGATTCTGACGAAACACAAACCCGGCGCTGCTAATAAAATTCATAATACTACGGTTCATAATACAGTTGTGAAAGGATTAAACAGAGCTACGGTTCAAAGCTATTTAACCCGTGACACACGTTTTTAATCCGTACGTCAGAGCGGAAAATTTCTGCTGCTGCAGATTCCTTTCTGCCTTGTCCTTTCAACCCTCGCGCTCTTTCGTAGCGCGAGAGAGCTCTGCTTTCTAACTTACCCTCCCGGAGAACAGTTGACTTTAAGCAAAGCGGACACCGCGCGAATGCCTAACCAAAGCGTATAATCCGACTTGCAGACAAAGATCCACCCCCCCCCTCCGTCCCCATCGCGACCGTTAAATTTCCGCTGAGTCCACGGACGCAGTTTATATGACCGATTTCATTTTTCGCTCGCGGCCGTTTCCGCGATACTAGTTTCCCAGCGTGAAAAAAGCTGCGCCCCTTAATAAGTGACGGCAGGGAGCGAGGGTACGAGCCTTCCTTTCTTTGGATTTAATCCCGGCAGTGGTGCAATGCTTCACGATTAAAGCGGCACTCTTAAAACTCTCGCGCGAAAGTGATATTAAACGTTACACGGTACACATACAAGTAAAGCAGAGAGCCGAGAGGAAATGCCCGGGTCGTATCCCTGTGCGAATATTATTCTAACGATTGCCCGTTGGACGGTTACGCGAAAGTGCTCTCTGATAGACTGTTAACATTGCGATATTGCACCGCGTAATACTTACTTCTTTTCAAGATCTCGTTCATTGATATCTACGTTACCAACTAATTACTTACTGTTAGTATAAAAAGATAGACGAAGTTAATTAGTTTCATCGTTTCTTAACTCCGACGGTTTCTCCCGAGACAAAGACCAGGTTTCTACGTTGCTTAAATAATTAGGAAGATCTCATCGATTTATTATAGTTCCTTTTATTCAGACGAAATAACATACAGGAGTAAATACAATGGAAGAGTATCTCTTACAATTCTATATTTTTACAATCGCCAGTATGTTCGCGCATCGATAATAAAGTCAGACATGTTTGCGTTCTCGCCGTGATAAAATGAACAATCGCCGGGGTTTTCATATCCGAACGCGCGACTGAAAAGCTTTTTGCGAAACGGGAATACCGGGTTTACCTTTCTCGTCTTTGGACCACCACGTTCCACTGCTTATCGTCGGACTTCAAAGGGTCTCCTCCGCATGCACCGTCAAAGATCGCCGAGAACGAGAACTGGGGACGGCAAATTAGAGGTTGTAGACGACAATACAGTTTCTGCTGCTTTGTAAACGCGCGTCCCTCGTTTCCCCGCTTAATTTTCTCCTTTCCTTCCCCGATACTCGTTACGGAGATCGAACATTTTTCTTCTGCGAGGCTGCAATTTCATCCCTTTGATCCCGCGCTACCGTAATTCGTGTTTGGTTAAGGAAGCAACCTACTTATCTAACCCGGTTCAGAATTTATCAATCGAGTACTGGGCCGTCTTGATCTTGACTGACGACGTCCTTATTAGGACCGTCTTTTGTCTTCGAGTAATTCAAATTAATATTTGGTATCAACGAAACGTATTCGTTGTTCTGTCGCTCTTACCTTCGCGCCAACGTGTG